CATTTACTCAACCAAAATCAAAGCTCTTACCCTCGCCTCCAAGCGAACAAAGAGAAACCCCATCATCAACACGAACCCGAACTCTCGAAGAAGGTCTCCGTCCATGGACTGGCAATGGGAGCGCTCCTCCATTTACTCAACCAAAATCAAAGCTCTTACCCTCGCCTCCAAGCGAACAAAGAGAAACCCCATCATCAACACGAACCCGAACTCTCGAAGAAGGTCTCCGTCCATGGACTGGCAATGGGAGCGCTCCTCCTCCGACCTCCTCCAGAACTGCGACCTCCCTCCTCCCCTCAAGCTCTTCTCTCCCTTCGACGTCAAAGACGACGTCGACAAAACCAAAACCCGCAAGTAAGCATTTAACTGAAGTCTAATTAATTCACTGTTCTTGGTTTTGTTCGATCAGACGGTATTCACTTATCGGTCGTGTTGTTTCAAAATGACATTTCGTGCACTTAACCTCGTACACGAACAACTGTTTTCATTTATATATCCCCACTTTTGTTAATCTCGAACATATATATTTCTGTTTTTTTTTTTTTTTTGTGTAGGCGCGGATGTAATTCACTGTTCTTGGTTTTGTTCGATCAGACGGTATTCACTTATCGGTCGTGTTGTTTCAAAATGACATTTCGTGCACTTAACCTCGTACACGAACAACTGTTTTCATTTATATATCCCCACTTTTGTTAATCTCGAACATATATATTTCTGTTTTTTTTTTTTTTTGTGTAGGCGCGGATGTTTCGCTAAACCTTCTATCGATGAAAACTCGATAATTATTATTCTTTTTGCCTCGATTGTATTCTTACAGGGACGCAGAGGCAGCGCCAGCGAACCAGAATGAGAACTCAAGCCTGTTGAGGGCCCTCCAACTCTCGCAATCAAGAGCAAGGGAAGCAGAGAAGAAGGCCGCGGACGCGAGCGAAGATAACAAGAAAATGGCCGCGTTGGTGCTGGAGGAATCGTTGAGGCTCTCGGCTCACCGGCGATGGATGAGGATCCTTGAGGAGGAGATTTTGCTGATGCAGAAGGGCCGAAAACCTCGGTCGGGGTTTTGCGAAGAGGCCGAGAGGGAGGGCGGAGAGGACGCGGTGTTGGCTTGGTGCTTGACGCTGGCGATTTGCGTCGGGATCGGTGTTGTGTTCGGTCGATACATGTTTTGATTGGACCCCCTAAATTAAATTGACGGTAATGATATTTTGTAAATATATACCTGGGTGAAACAAAACAAATTTTTCTACGCAGTTAAATGAGGCTCGTTTTGGCGTTTTGAGGAATTGGTTTTACTTTTTATGATCGGTTGGTATTTTAAGCGATTTTTTTTTTAAATGACTTTTGAGTTTTTATGGTAATTTTGTTTTCCCCTCTTCACCATGAAAGGGAGCATTTCAAATTGTTACTGTTAGGTAGGATGATGCTTTCCTTTTGTAAGTTAGACAATTCAAGGAGTTGACCGATTTGTTTTTTTTTTTTTAATTATAATCTTTATATTATATGCTTTTCCTTTATCTTCCTCTCTCCATGTATGCGCTGTTTATGTTTTCTTCAGTTAATAACTCCAATGGATATTTTGTCCAATTACTTTTAAAAAATATAAATAATTGTTTTAAGCACTTGCTTTTAGATTTGCATAACGTACAATTTGGAGTCTGGTTAAAGAAAGTTAGGTGCAATGTAGGTAGCAGCATAAATATTTGACTTAATGGATCACGAATGTGAGATTATTTAAAGCTCTAATTAATATATCAGTCTCAACTGAGATGAGGAACTTCGTCATTTTGTCATGGATTTGAACCCTCTCCGAGTAGATGGTAATCGGTAATGATCTAATTATCCTTATTTGTTCCGTCTAGTTCAATTTCGAGTGATGAAATAAACTATATTGTCTTGAAAATCACTTCTGTGGAAATATGAACTAATTGGACCCTTTTTAATCACTATCTAATTGGAGAAAATCGGAATCCTTTTGCCATCTATTGAATAGTTGTTTTTAATTTGGGTGTATAAAAAAACTAAACCAAAACCAAAAAAATTTCTAGTCTACTCTTGTAAAAGAGGGTCAGATGAAGATACTTTGTTTTTAAGGAAAGGATCAGGTTAGATACTTAGCTTGGAGGGCGGTGACAGTTGTTGTTCGGCTTTGTATCCAGAAAGAAATTGAAAGATAATCATGACTGAAAATTACAAGAAGTTGAGAGTCTATAGTGACATTTTGTTTGTTATTTGGAGAACAACGCCAAAAGCTTAACTTGAGGTTGTCAAATTGTCAAATTGTGGATGTCATTTGAGAGGCAAGGACGGTCAGAAGTTGTCCATTTTTTTTTGTGGGAATTAATTTTGTCTGTCCTCTCTCTCCCTCCTCCCCTCAAGCTCTTCTCTCCCTTCGACGTCAAAGACGACGTCGACAAAACCAAAACCCGCAAGTAAGCATTTAACTGAAGTCTAATTAATTCACTGTTCTTGGTTTTGTTCGATCAGACGGTATTCACTTATCGGTCGTGTTGTTTCAAAATGACATTTCGTGCACTTAACCTCGTACACGAACAACTGTTTTCATTTATATATCCCCACTTTTGTTAATCTCGAACATATATATTTCTGTTTTTTTTTTTTTTTGTGTAGGCGCGGATGTTTCGCTAAACCTTCTATCGATGAAAACTCGATAATTATTATTCTTTTTGCCTCGATTGTATTCTTACAGGGACGCAGAGGCAGCGCCAGCGAACCAGAATGAGAACTCAAGCCTGTTGAGGGCCCTCCAACTCTCGCAATCAAGAGCAAGGGAAGCAGAGAAGAAGGCCGCGGACGCGAGCGAAGATAACAAGAAAATGGCCGCGTTGGTGCTGGAGGAATCGTTGAGGCTCTCGGCTCACCGGCGATGGATGAGGATCCTTGAGGAGGAGATTTTGCTGATGCAGAAGGGCCGAAAACCTCGGTCGGGGTTTTGCGAAGAGGCCGAGAGGGAGGGCGGAGAGGACGCGGTGTTGGCTTGGTGCTTGACGCTGGCGATTTGCGTCGGGATCGGTGTTGTGTTCGGTCGATACATGTTTTGATTGGACCCCCTAAATTAAATTGACGGTAATGATATTTTGTAAATATATACCTGGGTGAAACAAAACAAATTTTTCTACGCAGTTAAATGAGGCTCGTTTTGGCGTTTTGAGGAATTGGTTTTACTTTTTATGATCGGTTGGTATTTTAAGCGATTTTTTTTTTAAATGACTTTTGAGTTTTTATGGTAATTTTGTTTTCCCCTCTTCACCATGAAAGGGAGCATTTCAAATTGTTACTGTTAGGTAGGATGATGCTTTCCTTTTGTAAGTTAGACAATTCAAGGAGTTGACCGATTTGTTTTTTTTTTTTTAATTATAATCTTTATATTATATGCTTTTCCTTTATCTTCCTCTCTCCATGTATGCGCTGTTTATGTTTTCTTCAGTTAATAACTCCAATGGATATTTTGTCCAATTACTTTTAAAAAATATAAATAATTGTTTTAAGCACTTGCTTTTAGATTTGCATAACGTACAATTTGGAGTCTGGTTAAAGAAAGTTAGGTGCAATGTAGGTAGCAGCATAAATATTTGACTTAATGGATCACGAATGTGAGATTATTTAAAGCTCTAATTAATATATCAGTCTCAACTGAGATGAGGAACTTCGTCATTTTGTCATGGATTTGAACCCTCTCCGAGTAGATGGTAATCGGTAATGATCTAATTATCCTTATTTGTTCCGTCTAGTTCAATTTCGAGTGATGAAATAAACTATATTGTCTTGAAAATCACTTCTGTGGAAATATGAACTAATTGGACCCTTTTTAATCACTATCTAATTGGAGAAAATCGGAATCCTTTTGCCATCTATTGAATAGTTGTTTTTAATTTGGGTGTATAAAAAAACTAAACCAAAACCAAAAAAATTTCTAGTCTACTCTTGTAAAAGAGGGTCAGATGAAGATACTTTGTTTTTAAGGAAAGGATCAGGTTAGATACTTAGCTTGGAGGGCGGTGACAGTTGTTGTTCGGCTTTGTATCCAGAAAGAAATTGAAAGATAATCATGACTGAAAATTACAAGAAGTTGAGAGTCTATAGTGACATTTTGTTTGTTATTTGGAGAACAACGCCAAAAGCTTAACTTGAGGTTGTCAAATTGTCAAATTGTGGATGTCATTTGAGAGGCAAGGACGGTCAGAAGTTGTCCATTTTTTTTTGTGGGAATTAATTTTGTCTGTCCTCTCTTTTTTAGGCAAAAGAATTGATTCTGTTGGTCATCGAGCGCTTAATTGCCATCAATTTTGTGTTGAGGACATTCAATAATTTCTACAACTCGTATCAATCTACTCTAATTAATATGATCTTAAATGGGTTGCAACAAAAATCATAGAGATTCTTAATTTGGAGGGTAGATCATACTCTTTACGTATAGCATTGTCCTCTAATTTTGAGACCGTATCAAAGGGGATGGACGAATAACTAAGTAAAAGTTGCAAATATATAGTTTCGAAAATTTTTTAGTGGACTTGGGTGAGTTCACTATTATAGAGTTGAGTTCATCTGGATTGAACCTGAACCCTATCACCTAGATTTTCGATTCAGATTTTTTATTTACTAACGATAGCATTTTAAAAAATAACTCCTCATTAAATTTTATCACAGTTGAAATCTAAATAACATGACAAAAAAAAAACTTATTAGCTGAGGAGATGAAGTAGAATAGAACAGAATGGAAGAATACGATCCAACGTACCGATCCCAAATATTTCAGATATTAGCAATTGTTGTTTGAAAACTATATCAAGGCTTCAAATTTCGGTTAGCTCATTCATTAGTTTTGAACAAATGTTCATAAGTTTTCTTTTTCCAATTACCAAAAGAAGATAATTCAGCCCAAAATCCAAATAATGGTACTGTAAATTTAAGATGGCCGCAGTCCGAAAAACTCCTTTCCTTCTTTAAATGGCCTGAAAAATGTACGTTTAAGAAGGCATGTGTAGTGGCGCTTAGGGGTGAGCACGGTTCGGTTCGGGTCGGTTTTTACCAAAATTTGAACAACCGAACCGAACCACCTACAATTCAAAACCGAACCGAACCATTACAAATCGGTTCGGTGCGGTTCGGTTCGGTTTGTTCGGTTCTAACTTCATCAAGTATAACTTCACTTCAATTTATCTTTTATATATTATTATTACCCTATGCCAACATGTATTTGTTTTTTAACTTCACTTCAATTTATTATTCTTGCTCATGTATGTATACTGTTTTTAAGTGAAGTAACTTGTCCTTTTGGATTAAATACTAGACTCTGACGTTGTAATTTTTTTGTAACGGACTTGCTTTGTCTTTGTGTAGCAAGCTTTGAGTTTGGTCTTTGTGGAGACAAAAAAAGGAGCTGACTCATTAGAACATTGGTTATGTATGAATCAATTCCCTGCAACTGCTATTCATGGTGATCGAACACAGTAATAAACCCACAAATCAAAGGCACAAATATATTCGGTTGGTTCGGTTCGGGTCGGTTTGAAAAATTGTCAACCCGACCCGAACCGCCTTACTCATAAAACCGCTTTTTTCGGGTCGGTTCGGGTCGGTTCGGTCGGTTTTTTCGGTTTGAACCGAACCGTGCTCACCCCTAGTGGCGCTCACAACTCATCTGGGCATTTTGATGGGCCGGGCCTGGATTGTACCAAAGCCATTGTTTTGGGACATAATTGTTGGAGGCCTTTAATTTGGTTGTTGTCGTTATCGCTGTTCTTTAATCCTTCGAGCTTTAGAGCCCATCAATCCTATATTTTTCTTGCCAACGATTTCATGAGACGAGATCATGAGAATATCAAGTGACTTCCCTACTATTATTGCCAAATCTTTATGAGATGCTCACCGTCACCGTGTGACTAACGTATTTTACATAGGAAAAAGATAAGTGTACTAAAATTTCACTACTACTTAGTCACTACAAAAAACAAAAGAGTGGAGTCCTTAAATTTTGTAAGAAAAAAAAGTAATAAGTCATCATGATTCCACTTTTTTATTTCTCGTAGTGCCAAAGTAGCAAGAAAGAGCAGTATACTTATGATCATTTTTTCTATATTTTTTAAAAAAAATTGAAAGTTATATTTGATAATGACAAAGTTAATCAAATTAATACAAATACATGAAATCATCATCATATTCAAACTCTAAATAAAATAATAAGAAAACTTTTTTACGAGAGCCGGCTGTTAGCAATTAAACCAAGCGAAAAAGCATGTGTCAGGGGAAAAAAAACCCTACCATTTTAACAAAGCATGTGGTTGGTTTGGAGTCATCATTCTGAATATGAAACCCTTCATAAAGAGAAAATGGATTTGGATCCTCTTCACTACAAAAAAGTAGTGGAGAGACCACTACTTTTAATCTTAATCGTTGATTATTTAGTAGGCGATTATGATACAATCT